CTAAACTTCTAGTTTTAAGACAAAGATAAGGAAGACTCTACAGGAAATTTTGAGTGCTCAGCTATGTAAATGTTTGAAGAAAGCATAATTTCCTTTCTTTAAAAAAACCTCCCATCATATTATGAGGATTTTGGGGAAACATACTGGTACTTACCTTCAGATGCACATCAAAGAACCTTTTTACTTGAGCTGAAAGTACTTTGTCGTCTTCCTTGGATTGACCCACTAAAATGGAAGACGAAATGTCCCGTTTCATTTTTGATCAACTTATGTATTAAACTTAAAGCCGGCTGCTGGGTTTATGAATGCATAAGTATATATGGCCTCAATCTAATTCTGTGCTGAATCCTGTGAAACCAACACTTGCATCAGATGTGTCAAGAATACTCTATTATACTCTCGTTAAAATGTATGTACATTCCTGTGTGCTCATGTAACACAGGAACATGGAAGAAAATCAAGTACTAAATAAGACACTCCATTAAACCTGACTTACATTTTTTCACAGATAAAAATTGTGACAGCAATACCACAGAGGAAGGTATGTTGATTTAAAAAAATTGTATTTGGTTTAAACCAGTTGAGAAACTCTCCTTTAAAACCAGGTTTCTTCGGTATGTCCTTTGTTCTTGGCATATTGGGTAAGACAGTTGCCAGGATATAGGTCAGTGTGGCAAAGCCATGCTTAACATTTTTATAGTCAAAAGCTAGTCAAACATCCTCTCAGCATTTTGGCTCTTATTTGAAGCTGTCCTTCTGAGGTGGCCGTACTTTGAACCTTTCTGTCTGGAGATTTTCCCTTTAAATTAGAACTATTTTCCCAGAGTCATAACAGGTTATCTAGCTCACCCTGCTGCTGTAAAGCAGGGCCAACTATACCTAAATATTTCTGGCAGAAATTAGTCTACCCTGTTCTTAGAAACATCAGTCTCCTAAAGCAAAGCATACCTGCAGTAATAAAGGACAATTTTTAACCTGAAACAATGTCTTATGGTGCATCGTTTCAATAGCTCCAATGTTTTACATTACAGTATTTTGCTTTAGAACAGAATATTTCAGTTGGAAGGAACCTACAACGGTCATCTAGTCCAACTGCCAACTGCTTACCTTGGGTTAAGCTTTGCCACAGTCTTCTTGATGGTCAATGAGTGAGAGTTTTGATCCCTTAATTCTCGTCAATATAGCAGAAATCTCAGGTATTTAAGCTCCTCACATATCAATGGGAGGCCTGGCTGTACTGTTTGCCAGTACGTCAAGTGCAGGTAGTGCAGTACTGTTGGAGGTGAACAACTGTACAGATCCTAACATTTTAGTTTGACTTGTAACATCAATATCTTCAGTTGCTTTATTTTGAAGCTTATCCAAACAAACAGGAACCCACCTTTCTTTCCCCACTGGCATCCTCTTACTGGGGTAAGGTGTGTGTCGAAACACTGGTGTGTTCCTTTGAGGGTAGCTGTTCCTTTGAGGTTACCTGTCTACTAATTTAGTGCATGCATGTGAATGGAGATTCACCATTGCTTTCAGTGAGGCAGATTAAGTCTTCTTCGATATGATTTAACAAACACACATGGATGAGACTCTGTTTTGGGAAAAGCCTGTTCTGACAGCAGCTTGTTTTGAAAAAAACATGGATAAATAAAGCAGGGATTGTTCTGCATTTATTGTAAACATATCCTCTTCTCTTTTGCTCTACATTTGTCCTAAACTATAGTCTAAACTATCTCTACAAATCCAAGAATTTATGTAGTCCTTAATTTTCTTAAACTCTTTGTATACCTCTGCACATTGTTGGATTGCTACTGTAGTCCATCCTTTGATTTTAGTAAAACTGTACAGATCCTAACATTTTAGTTTGACTTGTAACATCAATATCTTCAGTTGCTTTATTTTGAAGCTTATCCAAACAAACAGGAACCCACCTTTCTTTGCCCACTGGCATCCTCTTACTGGGGTAAGGTGTTAAACTTCTGGAAGTTTATATCATTTTTACGTTCATATGTTTGTTCAAAAATTGTACAGGCATGGATTCTTGCAGGACAGTCACGCTAGAAAAGTAAGCACTATTTTATCTTTTTCTAGTTGGTGAAACCATGGTTTAAAGGCAAATGGTAGCACTTTTCTGAAAGCACAAGTTCGTGGAGGCAGAGTTCCAATTAGAAATCGGGACTTCTGACTTCTTACCATGTGCTCAAGTCACTAATCCCACTCTCTTGTCATAAAGAGTGAGATAGCTGCTAGACGGAGTATCTACACTAGTTTTCCAATATCTAACTGCTGCTTAAAATCTACCCTGAAACATCTCTGGGGTCTTGACTGCAGTTGTGCCTTCTGCATCAGCTTTGTAAGAAAACCGTCTCTGTTACACATCAGTTGCTCAACTAGCTGCTTTAGTAGAGTCTTCCAATGTATTAATTTATATAATATAAAATACTTTAGGATCAACATTTCTACATACACTTAGGGTAGCTATTGCTAATAGCAGAAAATGAAACACAGTTCTTCTTAGGAAAAGAGTCATCTTTTATTTTACAGATAAGCAAGCTGAGCATAGTAATCCATTGAGCTCTTTAAGTGACACAATATTTATAAGAACATTTTACGTTCCCTACCATGAACTTCCCATCTTGTTCTTAAATCTTAACACTTAACATCTTAAATCTTAACACTCTGCCAGAAATAGGATTTGAATAAGAAACAACATTTGTACTAGCAGAGAGGAAAAGAAAACTAACAAAAGCTGTTTTAACTCTACCAGCTCTTGACTTCCTTCCTCTTGTCTTATAAATTGTGAGATATCAAAGTCGGGCATCTCTCTCCACTGAAAGGCTCACCCAGCCTACACTGGACTATGCCAGTCATGGTAAGGTGGAGAGCTGTTTCAAAAAATTGTAGCATGCTGTTTCTGTCATTTGAATTCTGCTCTCTTCTTACCCTGTGAGCCTCAGATCCTGAGACTATTTTGCTGAGTAATCTCAAGTGTGCAAAATCAGCCCTCAGGCTTGCAGATTTTGTGTTGATTCACAATATACACAGTAGTTATGGGCTCTAACTAATGTAAATTGATTAAATTCCATGGAATCCATGGAAGTTATGTTACACTGATTTACATCAGCTGAGCCACTTCTGGGAATACTCAAATTTATTTAGTTCAGTAAGGAGATGTTGTGACTCAGATTTAAGATATTTGTTTATAGAGGAAGGGAGGTTCTAACGGCTTCACACAACCTCTCTATTTTACGTTTCTTCTGAATACTTTTCTG